GAAGGTGATTCAACCACAGCAGAGCATTTTTACTTTCAGTGCATCATTTTCACCTAACAACATCTGGCAATTAAAAATATAATAGGGGATGGATGTGTCTTGGCAGCCATAAGAAAAACGCCACTCTCTTTTTGTTATCTACCCCCCTACTGTTGTGATGATGCCCAGTGGCCTTGCAGCTGCATTGCCCTCTCAGTATTTGCTGAACAGCTTTCACTTAATTGCTTAGCATTATAACATAGTTAAAATATCAAAATTGAATTGCAATGGACGAGTCTTGCTGATAGAGCCATTGGCAATATACAATATGTTTTTTTGGGCCATGACAATGCTACTGTTCTGTTCTTCTTATCAGCGTTGTCTGTGTATAATTTATTCCTGATACGCTTCATTTTAGAACTGTACATGGTAAAATGGATTTAGGATGATTTGTTTCCTGATAGAGTGATAGTCATGGGATTATCCTTGGTATGCTACACTGTTACTGTTATGTCAACATGAAGCCTATGATTTTTGTGTTGTTCTGTGCAGATGAGTTATGTAGATCTAAGCTTCCTCAACAAGAGGAGCAACCAGCAGCAGCCTGACACTCAATTAATTAAGTGAGCGAAATGCACCAAAGAGATTAAAAGTAAGCACAAAAATCATATCCCCCAAAAGGCCAAAACTATATTTACTTCAACTGTTCTTTCTCCCCTAAGTACAACACTTGAACTATAACATGTTTTGATTTTTTACAAATGTAATTCATTCTTTCTATCCACCAGGTCACTGAAATTAACCATACCAGTCTGCTAATCAAGTTTATATCAGAACTAAATGAGGAGCAGTAGCTGATAGTTCGTAAACTTGAGTTCGGTTCTTTGCTTCATATCTCATGCGACTGCATATTGGATGACATATTTGAATGGTTAGAAGCAGTTCAACACAACTACATGCAGAATTGAACTAAGGAATGGTTTCAAGTTCCATTTCACCCAATCTGCTGTCCACAAAATCCTAGGCATTCCATGTGGGGGTTTTCCAATACAAACAAAACCTACCAAACAAACTATTGATTTCATGAATACATTTCTTGAAACAACAAAACCAACCCCAGAACATTTGCTCTCAATGTTGTCTTTGCAAAGGTTGACCACCCTCACCATCTACGATTCGTCGCATTCCTCAGTGGCTTTGCTCATGAGATTGTGTTGTTTGATGGCGAATTCTCTGGTAATGAGAAACTGCTCCAGTATGTCGTCGCGGTGAAGGCCAAGGAAAACTGGATGTGTGCTTAGAGCTGGAGGAATCGCTGTTTTGGTGGACTTTTGAGCAAGAAGCTGTTGGGGCTGTTAGGTCTCCTGACGATTCGGTGTTGAAGTATGGCGAGTTCGATGTGAGGGTGCTTTTTGCTCCCAAGGACTTCACTGTGGTTGGCTGAAACCTGAAGGGAAGTGACGAAGATGCCCCCATTCTATAATATCCGTGATTTATCTGGTCGGAATTTGAATTTTCTTTGTAAGCCCTCATTTGGCAGAACAGCAGACATTTGAGGACTTACTCTGTGGTTTAAATATGTTCAACTGCAACAGAAGTTCGAGGCCTGACATGTATGGTCTCTAAATAATGTTAAAACTGCTTATATGTGTGCAAAACTGTTAGAGAGATGGTGGTTTGTAGTATGTTTTGAGCTCTTATAGTTTACCTCTAAGTGGTTTTTTGAATAGCGAATTTTAGCCGGTTTTTAGTTAAATCAGCTTTAGTTATTTCTTTATGAATACCCCGTTTATCTTTACTATTAAAGCGGAGTCTATGGTTATGAGTACATTATATGGTCATTCTCTCATTCTGGTCTGGAAAAGATAAATGTGAAAGAAAAATAAATAGTCGTCACCCATGAGCACATGTCTCACCCCTCGGAAGCGGCTCCTCTGCCGTGCGCTCTGTGCCGTTGGGTCACTGACATGTTGGCCATGTTAGCAATGGGCCCACATGCCAGTGGCATAACAGTAGGATGTCGTATGTCAGACTGTCTGACCCTCTTCCCACGTTGCTCTTCCCACGTTGCTCAGCCACCTTTCTCCCTTCCACTCTCCCGTCCAAGGATTTGTTCAAGGTCACTCTGCCTCACGGGATTGGGATCCTTGCCTGCCGTCTGTGTTCGATCAGTTGTTCGTCCTTGTTAGGTGGTGTTTGGTCGAAAATTCGCAAGAGCGGACGAGCTCGCATGGTCTCGGAATCGCTAGGCGCTCGTTCCCCTGGGGATATGGGTTGTGTCAGGTATTGTCAGCTGTCTTCTCTTAAAATCTTTTTTCTTGGGCCGTATATGGGTTGGCTGGACCCGCGTGCGTAGCTGACGGCCGTTTTCTGGACGCGGTGACGACGCCCGGTACGTAACGGCCGATTTGTGTGCGTCGGCACACCATGATCACTCATTTTATTTGCCGTGGGACGTACACACCGTAACGGCAGCCGTACACACATGCCTCGTTCCAGGAGTGCTGCTTGCTAGCCGTGTCAACAGTTGTGGCTAAGGTACTTGTCACTCATTTTATAAGCTGTTTGCTGATTGACATTACGTCTGAGGCAACGGATTCATTGTCTATGTTCTTTGTAATACAATCTTTGTAAAAAGAAAACACGCAACAGCGGCTAGCACAGTACCATTCTGGAGATGTTCGCACAGCACCTTGTGACGGCAGGCTTGCAATATGTGCAGCGGCTAATGCAGCAACAATAGGAAGTGATCTGAGAAAATATAGGAACATGCCTCGTTAACAATCATAATTTTTCACAATACTTGTAGCTTATTTTGCGGGTGACACAGGGTTACGTTAAATGCACACAGGTTTAGGAAAATCCTACTATCCTACTAGCTCACAAGACAAAATCAAATTGTACAAATTGGACGCAAAACTAGAAACAAAGCTAACTACACAACTGTCACCTCCAGCCGGATTGGGGTTTCAGCAGGAGGCACGGCATGAAGCACCATACTTGGGTTTCCGCACATGTTTCGCCGGTGACCACCTACGGCACAGTGGGTGCATTTCAGCTACCTCCTCGGTTTCTTCAGCATGTCACCTCTGTCTGGTGTGTCTCCGTGACTCCCATAAAATCCATGACTTGCGCCTGAGTAGCATCATTAATCGAGATGTCACATGTTGGTCCATTAAACACTGTCGCTATAGGCATGAAGCATTTGAACAAATTTTATGTGCCTTCAGTGAATGACTGCACAACATTCTCGTGTGCTCGAAGTTGCCGCACTCGCATAGAAACTGATCACCCCCTCCATCAATTGTGACCTCATACACCACCTTGCACCGTTTGTCATGCCTCTCCGGATTGTGCCGCCGCACTAGGTACTTCATGCCTTGCTCAACAGGTTCGACCCTGTACTGCCCTGCTTCCTACAGTATCTGGCCAAACTTCTCGAACATGGGCCCTAGTGTACACCTCACTCGCATGCTGCTCCGATGGCGTGTTAGCTTTCATCACCCGTGCTGCCTGCAAATTCATGACATGGGCTCCACAAGTTAGAACCCCCGCCCGTATGATTGAACAACATAATTTATGTAGGTCCAAACCAAAAAAACAGAAACTACACTCACCCTACAGGAAAAACAAAGTACACGATGAACACCATTTCTGAAACTGGCTACACGTTTAAGGCAAAGTCCATCTTTGTTACGATGTTCCACCAGATGGAGGACAACCGTAGGCCTTGTTTGGTTATAGGGGGACCGGCCAATCCCCTAGTGGAACTAATCCACCCAGTGATTGGGTTGATCCCGTACTTGTCAATCAATCTTTGTGGAGGTTGATTCCCTAGCAACCTTGTAATCCCTGCTATTGATTAACTATTTGGTTAGTCCCAGCTGCATTGTACCCATTCAAACTTATCATATCCGAAACCGCTCATCGGACATTTTGCAAGTGTAGCAGTATTAAGCACACAATCTGATGTATAAAATTTCGTAAATATAGCACAACAACATTAAGACATTTCACAAATATAGGTAGTAATAAGCTAAAAAGCATGGACACGGGGACGGAAAGACGGGGATACGCATACGGGGACACAGGATACGACATGTTCCAGAAACAGCCATTCAGAAATATGGCGAGTATATATGAAATAAAATAAAAATATGCCATGTAAATATAGAGTTAAGATAAAAAATTAATGAGAAAGAGATCAGAATAGATAATACTTCCCCGTTTGGTGTCTCTTTTATCAAGTGCTTGATTGATCCTCGTCCCCCAATGCCATGCTACCTAACGGCAAGCAGTACAAGGAGCAAGCATTCATCAATCATCATTCATATTCGACAGCAGCTGCCATGCTGTACAAAAGCTACTTCAATTCTAAGTCTATCAATTATCAAATACTCCCTCCGTTCCAAAATAGATGACCCAACTTTATACTAAAGTTAATACAAAGTTGAGTCATCTATTTTGAAACAGAGGGAGTAATGGACTGCTGATAAAACTAAGGCCAATTAACTACATTTGAAGTGGATGGAAGCTGATTAAATGTTTAAAACCAAGAAACTACACAAGTGTTCTATAGATGCTAAATATGGTACTGATGCAAGGTCACTCAATAAACCAAAGTCAGTAATAGTACTGTACTAAGTACGGTATTAAGTTGTAACATATGGAATTAAGTAATTCACATGTGAATGTCAGTCTCGATCTGTAAATAGTCTAGTCTAAAAGTAAGTCCTTCAGGCAAGAACACGACTAATACTCCAGATCCTTACTCAAGTACAATAGAGCACCTCGTCCTACATGGCTATCTCACGATTTCAACACACCACCCAATTCTTTTCATTTTACGAGTGATCATCGACACCAATAGAAACAATTTTTGGTGGCACCGAAAAGCTATATCCAAGAGAACGTTTTATGGTGGCAATCCGAGTGTATAAATTATATTGTACACCTTGCTGAAGCAAATATTATTTTCACGGAGCTACTTAACAAGGTCATGTGTATATATATCTGTATGTCTACGAGTATAGTTTCTGGCCAGACTTATCTGTAAGAGAGTGATTATGGGATGTCATGTACCAGCTGTTGTCTTTTGACCGGAGCAACCATATCATCGCTGGGCACCTACACCGGCAAGACCGTGTATTACTTCTTTTTGGGACCCCCTGCAAAATGTTTGTAACAAATAACAATGTGTCAGATTTTTTTTTCTTGGCACAAGCATAAGTCTGAATAGAAAGTTTTGTTATGCCAACGGTGAATAGAAAGTAATACTAACCGAGCAGTCGCAGACTATCTCTTGCATACATTTTGTTCTCTCAACGTTTAGTCTCCTTTTTCCATACCTAATTCCAAACCTAATTTCCCAGGAATACAGATTGTAAATAATCATATGCTTCTCCAAGTGAATCAAAGTTGTTTCCGACTACAGGAACTACAACAGTGTCAGTCTTCTTCTCTGCATAACCCCTCGGCTCGCCTAGCCAAGTCCGTCACCGCCGTTCAACACCATAGCCACCACCCACTAACCTCAGCCCCGCCTCCACGCCCGTGAGAAGAGCTGCCGTCTGCAGCTGCCGCCCGACGACCTCGGGGTCACCAGGCCACGGCACTCTCAGCCCGCGCCGTAGGGAGCCGATGTGCAGAACTGCAGATACACCGCCACCGAACGCACCTCCGCCCGACAGCCACGCCCGCTCCCTGGACCAGGAAGCCCGATGCGCCCTAGCCATCCATGCCGCCGCCGGCAGGCCACCCCAGCTGCGCCGCGAACACTTCAGCCTCGAGTAGCACCCGAGGCACCCAGGGACGAGACGAACCGGATCTAGGCAGAGTCCCAGCCGGCCGCCGCTGCCATACCCTGGAGCCGACCGAGACGCCCCGCAACAGCGCCGTACCGCCTGACCCCGCCGCCAGAGGCCGAAACCGCGCCCGCGCCCCCGCCACATAAGCCCCCCTCCCCCCGCAGCCCATGAATGCAGAAGGGAGAGGAGGAGAATCCCTGCCGCCGCCCGCGCCCACCGACGGCGGCGTGGGGAAGAAGGGAAGGAGGACGCCCGGAGGGTGGCGGCGCTAGGGTTCTCCCATGGTGCTCGCGGGGAGCGTCGCGGGAGCGCTAAGAGATTTTTTTCATTTTTAAGAAAGCTTTGAAACGTCACCTATTCATAAGCCTGTACCGTCGGAACATGTGAGCTGCTTCCGTGACAGGATCGTCATATCAAAGGGTGGGTTCATCGTATAATCCTGTTCCACGCTACGCACCCTCCTCCTGGCCTCTACTTTCGCATTCAATGCACGTCCCGACGCGTCCTTGTTCGATTGGCACACGAAGCGGGAGCAGACGAGCTCGTCCGCTCCATCGCCGTTCTCGTGTTTGGTTCTCTAGTTCTAGGATTTTTTTTTATTTCCTAGGATTTTTTAAAAAAGACTATCAAGAAGGTGCTTCCAAAGACTTTTAGCAAAAAATCTCAAAAAAGTTCCACCCTGTTTGGTTTGCCAAGGACTTTTTTTAGTCCCAATACAAAAAAGTAGGACTTTTTTTAGTCCCAATACAAAAAAGTCCCTGGAACCAAACACCCCCTTAAGCTTAAAATATTGCTGAGATTCAGCCTTAGCAAAACGTCTTTACCAGGGGCAGAAGAAGAATAATGATTTTAGAGGGGGCATCAATTCACTCAAGTCCTAATTAGGGACAGTGGAGCGTGTGAGCAAGTTGAAAATTCTCAGAATCCATTTAGTTCACTCTTTATTTCTTTTGCACGGATATGGCACGTTCTATTGGAGTATTAGACTCGAGCAAGCCTTTTGTCGACATCCCGAAACTGACGCCGGATATTATTCTCCTGGCAAGAAACCAATTCATAGCTCAACGCTCATTGCAGATGTCTCACCAAATCATAGCATGTACGATTAATTACATAAATTGTAGAACTGTATATCGTATAATTAGGATGCCGGTGAGCAAGAACAAAAACTAGCAAGCACGATGCAAACAAACTCAAGCGTATCAACAAAGTTACAATAAACAATTAACAAACGCCGAGGTTTAAGCCCATATTAAACCTCGGCAAGATGCAGATACATAAGGCCGCTGCTGAAACTATAGTCCATACAATAGGGGGCAAAAGGAAAACAAAAAAATCTGGTGGTGTACAGCGTTCCATCCTTCTACCATGGACAGGAGCACAGCCTCATCAGGGAAGGACATGCTCTGATTTCTGCGGCAAAAATCAGAATATTAACATATGCCCATCAATGCATCAACTATGAACACCATCTGACTTGGCCACACACACAAAAAAAATGATCTCAGCAAGTCAATCCAGAACTACGCATACTTTTTGTTCTACCGCTGTTAGGAGAGAGAAACGGTACCTGCAACCCTACATGGTAGCCGACGATAGTTTACTTCTCAGCATGTCGGCGCTTGTGTCTCCTATTGCCATTGTTTCCGTTACCATTACGAGGCGATCTCTTCTGCTTCTTCGTGCTGTGTCAACAAGAGGTTTCAAGGCAATTGTGTTATCAGTTCACGCAAGGTCGCAGCATTGATAATTAGAATTATATTAGCTAACGAAAGTAAAACAAACTACCAGAAGGTTTCTACTAGAAGCCTGTACATAATAAACACAGGTAGAGCCAGCAAAGCAGAAGCCTGTAAAAGAAAATATGGGATGTTTGTCAGATAGATGGCCATCGAGGTTGTTGTTTCTGACTATTTCCCAAGAGTGCTTACCAGGAACCAAACGAACTCCTTAGTCACAAGTGATTTTGTTATTTCATGTTGGTGCAAGTAATCTGAAATGGTTGCTTGAGCCTACAAGATGAAAAGATTTTGAGATTTTTCTCACATGCAAACTACTTTTAGAACTCAACATTGGCAAAGTTTGTAATGAGAACCTTCTTGACTAGTACAGATTTATTAAGTGCAGATATTAGCTGACTCGTGAAGGGGAGCCTTGGCGCAGTGGTAAAGCTGCTGCCTTGTGACCAAGAGGTCACGGGTTCAAGTCCTGGAAACAGCCTCTTACAGAAATGTAGGGAAAGGCTGCGTACTATAGACCCAAAGTGGTCGGACCCTTCCCCGGACCCTGCGCAAGCGGGAGCTACATGCACCGGGCTGCCCTTTTTTTAGATATTAGCTGACTCGTAGGACTTCATATGAAAAAGGGCCACAATCAATTTG